CCTCACAAATGGCCCTGGGAAACAGCAAGGCTGGGACTCAAATCCAAGTCTCTCTTGATTCTGACTAAAAGAGAACAAATCTACTTTGGCACCTCAAGGTTATCACTAAAACAACCATCCCTTGAGGAAGAAAGACGGAGTAGAAAGAAATCAAGGTTAGCAGATTAGCAGTCTTTTTACACCTTACTCCTTCCATGTGGTCTATGATTCAGTGATGCTGGCCTCCTTACTGTTACACACACACACACACACACACACACACTCCATCTGCTAACTCTGAGGGTTTTCCTTGGCTCTGCCCGACGCCTGGGACATTTGCCCTCCTCATCTCCACCTCCTGACTTCCTCCCAATATCAGCACAAGTGAAGTCTTTGGCAGCCCTCCTTGATCTCAGTGCCTTCACTCTGAGACTACCCCAAGTTTGTCCTGCATAGATCTTATCTGTAGGCATATTTCTATCTGCATAATTGTTTTCATGTTGTCTCCCCCATTAAATCATGAGCTCCTTGTATCCATAGTGCTTAGCACAGTGCCTGGCACAGAGTAGTGCTGAATAAATGCTAGATGACTGACTTATAGAGAGGAAGAGTGACATAGAAGGTAGAGTTGACCTTGAAGCTAGGAAGATCTCTGACACATACTGGTTGATGAGCCAGCTCAAGTCTTTTATCTTGTCAGTGCCCTAGGCAACTCTCTAAGAGTATAAATTACAAAAAGGATACCAACTTGCATCGATGGAGGAACCATTTCCTCACCTAACACTTAGCATCATGTCTGACACATAGTAAAAGCTGAAGAAATACTTCTTGATTTACTACACAGGAATTCTCTGTGCCAGTGAATTCAGAGGTCCCGGTCCTATCCCTATCCTTATGCTACAGGGAGATCATTATGCACAGAAACAGCAATGTTGTAATGATGATCAACTGTGAAAGACTTGGCAGACTGTCTGGGACTTCTCAATGAACAGGAAGTGAGGTTGGAAAGGTGGAAAGTTAATGAAGAGCCTTGAATGTCAGACTGAGGGATGTGTATTCATTCCGAGAAGTACGAAGGAGACCTTGCAGGTTTCTTAGCTTGGGGATGACATAATGAAGGAAGAAAAAAAAAAAAGAAACACATAATTAAGGCAGAGATCTAGGAACTCTGTGGTGTGCATGGTGCACTAAACGGGGCAAACTGGAACAAAGCAGACCACAAAAGAGGCTGTTGTAGTTATCCAGTTGGAAAAAAAGAATCATTAGAACCAGGGAAGAAGTCAGCTGGGGAGCTGTCAAGGAACCCGCAAATCTGAGGAAAATCAAAGAGGCATAATTAGAAAGACTAGTTGATGGATTGGGTATTGGAGGATGATGGCAGAATACAAAGTGATTTCAGGGTGTAGGTCTAGAGAGGATATTAATGTCATTGGGGGAAGTGGCTTGGAAACTCTTTTCCTACATGTCAGGGTCCTTACATCTTGTCCATCTCCTGTCCTTCTGCAGGCAGGACTCATTCCAGCTCAGACAAATGCAGATTGGACCCATTTCCTTCCACATCTGCCAGGACTGAGATGCCCCTACCTTTCCTTGCTCTGCTCCAATTATTCTCAGGCTCCTCTCCCCTTGTCCCCACCACCCTCTTTCCTTCCCATCTTTGTAGGATAACAATTATCTTTTTTCTTTTCTTTTTTTTTTAATTCATGCATAAATTGCATTTAAGTGAGGCGGAGTTGCATAAAGTCATTGGCCTCACTCCTTCAAAGTCATCACAGTCCAGTGGCAGGACAGAATCAAGATGACTGGTGAAGGTTTAAGATTCAGTGGATGGCCTTGGCGTCTTCAATGCCTAACCAAGCTCTAAGTGCTCCATAGAATCTGCTTCAGCTACCTTCATGGCCATTGGAACAAATTGTTCTCATCTGCCCATTCCACCAGAGGAAGTCTTACGTGCTCAGGGTAGACACCCCCCTAACTCACCAACAGGTTTGAGACCCTCAGTTAGCCTTGACCTGGTTTAGCCGGTCTGCCAAAATGGTTTACCAGTGTGTGGCCACTGCACATGCTACAACTTCCTAGAGCCACAGGTGAGAGTTAGGTAGAACAGGTGAACACCAAAGGTGGAAGGCAGTCCTGAAAAGGGCTCAGCAGCCTTCACACCAGAGGTAGTAATCTTCTCTGAACATACCCTATACCCCAATATAATCTCATAGGTTACACATCTAGATTCAACTGTTTGGTTTTCCCCCTTGTTATTTCACAAGAAACCTCACTAGACTTCCCCTCCATGCTTCCCACTCCTACCACCCACACTCCAATCCTAAGACAATACCAGTTTTCCCAAGGTCATTCCTCAGAATACTTATCAACATCTGAACTCAGCAGGCTGCCCATCACAGCAGCCAATCAATTAACAAGCATTTCTTGAATGCCTACTATTTGCTACCTACTATGCTAGGCTACGGACTTGCAAAGAAAAAAGTGAACCAGAACTTGTCCTGGAGGATTTTGCGTTACATCATGGGACATAACAAGTGAATATATAGATATACTAGAGATGAGGACATCTGGGAAGCTAAGGCACAAGGAACTGGAGGCATCTGGAAAGGCGGAATATATAAGGTGGCATCTGAGCTGAGTCTTAAAGGAATCCTAAGAAGATCTTCAGACTCAAGGAAGGAATGCATTCCAGACATGGAGGACAACCAGTGCAAAGGCAGAGAGATGCAAAATGAGAAATGCTGCATGTGTAAGGAACAAGGAGGGAGTCATTTTTACCCGCATGTGCTATAGAGCGTATAAAGGGGAGGAATGTACAAGACCGCTGGGAAGAGGAGATTTCCAAAAGTGTCAAACAGAGATTTTATTTATATTATTTAACACTATTTGTGCTATTTCATACTGGAGGGAAGAGGGAGCCACTGGAGGTTATTGGGTAAGGGAGTGATGTTGTCATACCTGGGCTTTAGGAAAAATCATTTTAGTACCTACATGGAGGATGGATTGGAGTGGGGAGAGACTTGAAGAAGGGAGGCCAATTAGAAGGCTATGCTGTTTGTCCAAGTAAGAAGTGACAAGGCCTGAACTAGGATGTTGGCTGTGTAGGGGACAAATGAGAGATTTGGTGGATGAAGGAACAAGATTTGGTAACTAATTGGATCTGTGGAGTGAATGGAAAACAGAGAGTTGTGGATGACACCAAAGTTGTCTACATGGGTGATTAGAGAGATGGTAATATACTGGACAGAATTAGGGGATTTCAGAAGAGGAGTAGATTTAAACGGAAAGATTACAAGGGGTTTTTGTTGTTGTGATGTTGACTCTGAGATGCTTATGGGATATCCAGTTGGAGACATCCAATAGGACTAGAGCCAAGGAAACAGACTAGGGCTTATTATTGGGATGTGGGAGCTATCTGAATAGTTCATTAAACTCATGAGAGCTGAAAAGATCACCTAGTGAGGAAGTCTAGAGAAAGAAGAAAAGGGGCTCCAGGACAGTCAACATCCAAGGCCAACATCTGCCATGCTTGAGTTAAATATGAGAAACTGATTCTTATTGGCCTTCCCCTTCCTCTTCCTCGTCCGATAACATCCACCTGCATAGAATTGTAGCACCCAAAGTGTGGAGCTGGAAGGAACCTTAAAGGCCATCTTAAAAAAAAACTGCTTTAGGGGCAGGTAGGTGGCACAGTCGATAGATCGCCAACCTTGGAGTCAGGAGGACCTGAGTTCAAATTCGGCCTCAAACACTTGACATTAGCTGTGTGACCTTGAGCAAGTCACAGCCACAAATGCCTCACCAAAAAGCAAAAAAAAAAAAAAACTCATTTACTTGGCTATTGAGGAAAGTGAGACTCAGGAAGTTAAAAGATTTTCCCCAAGTGACACAGATTGTAACATCAGAGGTGAAATTTGAACCCAGGTCCTCTGAAAGCAAACCAATCATTTTTTCACTGTACTGTTATACCTGAATCTAAGGGTGTCAAATGTGGCCCAAGGCCAAGCTGCCTTAAAAAACACACACACACACACACACACACACACAACTAGCTAATTAGCACTTCCAAACCCTCGATGGTGATCAAAAATTGACTCCTTGCTAATAAGCTGCTTCAAATGAGGCCTTATCTATATAGAAGCAAAAATGCTCCAGCCTCAGATTTCATCCCCCCTAAATATTTGTCCTGGGGCCCTCGCAGGGATCATGGTTCTGGTATCAGCATACTGACAGTTGGCATAGAACCAGGAAGGATGAGCGCAGACAAACATGCCCTTCAGTAAAAACCACTATGACATACATGCATTGGACTCCAGGTTTTACTTTCACCCTTAGGGTGACATGGTAGTCATTTACCAGATATGTGCTGATAAATGTTTAACAAGCTGCTCTCTCTTTACAAAAAAAAAAAAATGAAAACAAAAAAAAAACCACAATGCAGTTTAATATGCATGATTAACATTTTCCCCATCACTTTCCTAAATCTAGACAATCAGCCATACAATAAATCAAGCCCTGGTTTATAGTGTTTTGCTTATTTCCAAGGTGTAAATGTAAAATTGAAAATTTAACAATCAGCTCTCAAACCAGTTTGAGCTGCCTCCAGCACATCCCTACACAATAACTATCTATTTAGAGAGCATTAGCAGCTAAAATTGGATGGGTGAGAGATAATGAGCAACTTCTTAACCCTTGGAATTAGCCCCTCAAACTTAAGACACAGGACAGATACCGAAAATCCCACCTGGGGCAAATGGCAGGAAATCTGTTCTTCAGCAGGGGGGACAGGCTGCTGATTGGAGGGGTAAGAGAGGGGAGGAGAACACACCAGCCCATTTTCTACCTGTTGAATTTTCAATTTTTCTACCTGTTGAGAACTACACATGCACTCAATCTCCTCCACCTTCAATGCCCTTGGTCAAAGGCCCAGTCACCTCCACTCTGATTACATCTCTGTTACCAGAGAGTTAGTTGGCTTCACTCAAGCTTGGGTCCACAGATAAGAGAGACTCAAGAGACAATGAGAGATATGGTTGCTATTTATTGAGATACATCATAGGCAATACAAAGAAGGGAGGAGAAGAATGATTAAAGGAATGGTCAGGGAGACATTCGGGTTTGGTTCAGTTTGGGGTGGGGGCGAAACAGGGCAAAATGACTTCTCCCTCTCCTTACACCTGATGCTTTATGATCAGACCATGTGCTTCGCCAGTATGTGTAACAAAAAAACAGCATGCACAAGCAGTAGAGACTGAGGTAAAATGAGGCTGCCTTGGGAATTCAGCAAAAGTTAATCCCCAGCTAATCATATAATCTAATGCTGGAAGGGACTTTCGAAAACATCCAATTCAACCCCTTCATTTTACAAAATAAGAAACTGAGGAAACCCAGAGAAATTTGGGCATCCTGCCCAAGGTCACACAGCAAAACCAAGATTCAAACCCAAGTCTTCTGAATCCAAATTCCATGGTCTTTCCACTACACCAGGCAGCCCAATTCAACTCTCTCATTCTACCTGATAGCTTCAATGCCTCTTCCATTAGTTGTGCTTAAACTCTAGAAAGCCAATATAATATGCAAATGATACAACATGCCAACCTATGTAAATGTAAATTTCTTGGTTATTTTGAGTTCTGGAATGGGGAACTCTGTAAAGGTCTGAGTGGGTGAGTATGAGGGAAAGAAGAAGGGTTCAGGGTGGGTCGGAAGTTGGGAAAGGAAAGCTTACAAGGAGCCAGAATGGCCAACACCAACTTGACACATCACAGGATGGTTAATATCTCCGGCTGGATGACTTGACCGTGGTACTTGTGCTTTTCTTCAAAATGGAGGTTCCCCCACAGCTAGGCCCTCCCTTGACATAACCACAGGAAGAGCCATGGCTCCCCTTCACCCCTCCACCGCTGCTGCCCAAGGACAACCCACCGCCGACCACCCGGCTGCCCCCACCGCACATAGTGGTCGAGCTGCCCGTCATAGCTGCAATGGAAAGAAGAAGAATTAGGAAGTGTAGACCAGGGAGGTTACTGAAGAAATCATACTAGGTGAGAAGGGGAGGTGCATCTTACAGACACCAACTGGAGAATTCAAGAGAAATCAGGCAGTGAACTAAACAGAAACTGGGCAGAGTTTGATAAGGAAATTCCCTCTGTCTCTAGAATAGCATGTACAGTTCCACTGATCACATCTCAGAAGGGATACTGATAAACTGGAAGAAGCCCATAGTATGGTGCCCATCACAGTGAGAGGTCCTGAGACCATGTCTGTCTTACAAGGAATGGTTCAAAGAACCAGAAGGGTTTAGCTTGAAGAAAAGAAAACTAAGGGACACAACTGCTGCCTTCAAGTATTTAGAGGGTTGTCCCAAGAAAAGGGAACTCAAGTTGCACTCTTAGATCCTGAAGGCCCAGTAGGCAGAGGTTACAAGAGGCCAGATTCATGTTTAATGTAAGGAAAAACTTCCTTAGAAAGAGCAACATCCATGAATGAAATGATCTGCCTCAGGAAGTAGGGAACTCCCCATCACTTTAGGTCTTTAAGAAGAGGCTGGTGGGCAACATTTTAGACAGGATTAGTGATTCAGGTAGGATTTGGACTAGATGAAATGTGTGGTGCCCCACCCACCCACCCTTAAGATTCCACAATCCACAATTGCGGTTCTCAAGGGACTTTATGTGAGGAAGGGAAAATCTGAGAGAGTGTGTTACAGATGCTAATCTTTTCTGGAGGTGGTGAGGAGGGGCAGACATAGTTCAGAGTCAGGGGAAGAACTAAGCAACAGGGTAAGACCTAGATAGTTGTCTGCATTCTGCCTGTAACACTGGTTTATTTCCCTCAAAGAGGGACAGGAGTGGGATACTTACAAACGCTAATAGCGTTGGGACACTCTCCAGACATTCTGTAGAAGAAAAGATGAGAGAAGGTTTAGCAAATACAAGAGCTGCCTGCTTAAAGATCCAAAAGAAAATTCCTCCCCTTTCCCTCATTCTCTTGAAGCTCTCTGTCCAGTGACCAGACCTTTCTATTCTCCAGGCCAATAGAGGAGCAAAAATGGTACTCAGTAGACAAGCCACCATATCGATTGCCTATAGGTTGGCATTATACAAAATGGCAAAAGTCTAAGAATCCCTTCTCTTTGGCTTTGGGGCATGCTTTCATCCTCTTGTGGGACAAAAAAAAAATGTGCTCTTGGAAGATATGATGTTCTGGGAATTAACAAGTCTTTCCACCAAAGTAATGAAGCCATTGGGGGGGGGGGGTGGCATTCAGGAAGATCTAGGAAGCTGTCCAGATTCTCTATTCCATAGTTCTCCTCTCCCAATCTCCAAGGCAGGAGTTGAAGGCATCATCCCCCAGTATGATTCAATGGAAAGAATGATTCTGAAGTGAAAATACCAGGTTCAAATCCTCCCTCTAACATTTACTACCCATGTGACTTTGGACAAGTCACTAGCCACTTAACTAGGCTTCAATTTCTCCCCCCAGAAGGGGGCTAGGTGGCATTGTAGATAGAGTGCTGGGCCTGGATACTTATTAGCTGTGTGACCCTGGGCAAGACACTTAACCTCTGCCTCAGGTCCTTATCTGTAAAATGGAGATAATAATAGTGCCTACTTCCCATTTGTGAGGATCAAATGAAGTAACTGGCACATTGTAGGAGCTAGACAATGCTTTTTTCCTACCCCTACCCTGTAAAATCAGGGGGTTGGACCTCTGAGCTCCCATCCAGTTTTATTTCCATAACTAAGAATAAGGATGAGGTGAATACTGAGCAGTCAGAACAGAGCTGCCTTCTTGCTGGCTTTTACACAGTGCCTGGCACATAAAAGCCACTTAATAAATGTTCATTGCCTGATGAAGTGACTACCTATCTGGGTAGAGATTTCTAGAGAAACAGGGAAGGGGATTATTTAGGTTGCAAGCCCTTTTGTGGGCAGTAGAGCCTACGTGTTGGAAGAGGATCTCAAAGGGATGCCTGTTGAGAACCAGCCAGAGATTTAAATCAACAGAGGAGCTAATCAAATCAGCCAAGGAATTGAGTAAACAGAAGAGAAAATGTCAACAGATCCATGATCAGCCTTGGTAATTATCTCCTGAATGAGTCAGTTAGCCTCATGCTTCAATCATTCAAGGAGCTGTGATGTCTTCCTCTGGTGTGGACGCTTCCACTTTAAATGCAGGTCACAGCCTCTCGGTGCCTCAGTGGACAGTGAAATGAGTTGCCGTGGCTAAAATCAATCTTTCCTTGGTGGTCCACCTTCTGAGGACAAAGCCTCTTTCGGTTTAGCTCCACTGGTTTTCTCATGACCAAGATGCTGATTCTAACACTTGGCCCATTTTCCAAATCCCCAGCTTGGTAGAAATGAACAAGGGCACATTTAATTAGTCTTTAGGAACCCAGGGTTCTCAAAATGTGGCACTGAAGGAAGGCTTCAGCTGCAAGCAGAGTTGACCTTATCAATCATCAATCAACAAGCATGTATTTAGATGCACCTAACTGCCACATGTTATATTAAATGCCTACTCTATACCAGGCACAGGCTAGGAACTGGGGATACAAGTTTAAAGAATGAAACAACACATTCACCCCATGAGGATAAGGGTAGTCACTTTCATTTTCTTTTGGGAAGGCCGGGGGAGTCAATCAGGGTTAAGTGACTTGTCCAGGGTCACACAGCTGGGAAGTATCTGAGGCCAGACTGGAACTCAGGTCCTCCTGATGCCAGAGCAGGTGCTCTATCCACTGTGCCACCTAGCTGTCCCTGTCACTTTCATTTTCTCTCTCTCTTTTTTTTTAATCCCTAGTTCTTAGCACAGTATAAAATGAGCCAGCCATTCTAAATTATACCTCATCCCAGACATTCCACTTAACCACGTATGAGAATATTTAAATAAGTCAAACACTATCAAAGAAATGCTGTGAGTCCCTATGTTTGGGTGTTACCCCTTGACCTTCTTCCCCCAGCCTACATCTCACAGGGTCTCGGTGTTCCCTGGGCACCACTTAATAGACCCAACTCAGAAGGAGCTGGAAATCTCACCACTTTCTCCTCCTACTGAGGCTCAGACAAGTGAGTGACTCCCTCAGGGTCATACTACTTTCCCTCAGCTGGATTCAGAAAACTAAGGGCTTTGAAATCCTGACCCTGTCATGGGACCAGTCACAACTTTACAAAACTTAACATAAAGTCTTATGTCATATTTTGGGTTTGTTTTGTTTGAGGAGGGGGGAGGTAAAAACTAACTTCATTGGCACTTACAATAGCTGCAAGATAAATAAATCTGAAAAAAATACAGTGCATGACAAACAATATTTAGCTCCACTTTTCCCACATCAGATCTGAACTCTGTTACAAAAATAACTGTCAAGAGCTTCAATTATATTCTATATACTCAATTATTTCATATATTATATATTCAATTATTGTACATATTATGTATAATACATATTCAATTATTTCACATACTATATATAATACATATTCAATTATTTCATATATTATATTCTGTTATTATATATAATACATATTCAATTATGTCATATATTATATATTCTATTATTTCACATATTATGTATAATACATATTCAATTATTTCATATATTATATATAATACATATTCAATTATTTCACATATTATATATAATACATATTCAATAATTTCATATATTCTGTTATTTCAAATATTATATATAATACATATTCAATTATTCCATATATTATATTCCATTATTATATATAATACATATTCATTTATTTCATATATTATATATTCAATTATTGTACATATCATGTATAATACATATTCAATTATTTCATATATTATATATTCTATTATTTCACACATTATATATAATACATATTCAATTATTTCATATATTATATATTCTATTATTTCACATATTATATATAATACATATTCAATTATTTCATATATTATCTATTCAATTATTATATATAATACATATTCAATTATTTCCTGTGTTATATATTGCACACATTCCCTATTTCATCCTCCTGCCATCTCAGCCAGCCTGCTTACCTGCCCTCCTCGCTCTCCAGCAGCTTCTTGTAGGTAGCGATCTCCATATCCAAGGCCAGTTTGATGCTCGTCAGCTCCTGGTAGTCCCGCAGCAGCTTGGTCAGTTCCTCTTTGCTGTGATGGAGGGCCTTTTCCAGGTCTCCCAACTTCTTCTGTGCATCTTTGATAGCCATCTCCCCACGCTCCTCTGAGTCAGCAATAGCGGACTGCAGCTGCTGGCACTGGGGGCGGGGCGGGGGGGGTGGGAGAGGAGGTATGAAGAACACTTTCCAATATCATCCTCTCTGTATTCTCACCTCCAGACCCAACCAAAAATGACCAGGAAAAGGGAAAAGAGAAACATTCTCCTGTGAAAAGGAGACACAGCAATGCAGTGAAGTTGATAATGCAAGTATCATTATTCTCAGCTTACAAATAGGGGGCTCAAAAAAGGATTTGCCCAGAGTCACATAACACAGGCCTTATAATTCTAAGGTCACTTAGAGTTTTCACCTTTCCCTTAGGGGCAAGGACCTAAACCCCTGTGTACTATGAACTAGGGTGTCCCAAAATATAATGCTCTGTCTCACGTGATAATGAGCTCCCATCACTGGAGGTATTCAAGCAGAGGCTGGCTGATCACTTATGGAGTGACATAGACTTGCCTTCTCCAGATGGACCCAACTTTTTTTGAAGAATTCACCATTTACTCATCCCACAGTTTGCTCTTTTCCAAACTAAACAACCCTAAGGTTCATTTTACAGACCCAGGGTGTTTTACAGGTATAGTTAGCAGCCTAATAGTAGAATAGCAGGTGTTAGACCATGACTTTCCTCATAAAGATGTCCCCAGCCACTGTGGATGGCAATGGGCATAACCCTGAGACCACCCCTCCCCCAACCTCCTGACCGAGGTCATCCACACCTGCTTCTTTACTGAGTCAATCTCCCCCTGCAGTCTCTGCACGACGCGGGTGAGCTCAGCGATCTCATTCTTGGTGTCCCGGAGACAATCCCCATGCTTCCCAGCTGTCACCTGGAGCTCTTCATACTGGGGGTCAAAATTGTTAGGCCCAAAGAGAATTACGTAGACAACAGACCCAGCCCACACGCCCAGAAGAAACCCAAGTGGCCACAAGGACCCACCCTCTCTGTCTTGTGGGCCTCCCTCGAACTAATCTCTCTTTTTGATCCTTTTCACCAGGAAATCTATGGGCCAAGTAAAGGTGGAAAATAGTATAGTCCCTGCCTTCAAGAAATTTACAAATGTCCAGCCACTCTGAATGGGGCTCTCATTTCTAGTCAAGCCCTTAACATTGGGAGCCAGGCTTAGTTTTGCCCCTTCCCTTGAGCCAACAACTTGCACTCACTCACCTTGGTCTGGTACCAGGATTCTGCCTCTGCGCGACTCCCCCTAGCAATCTCCTCATACTGGCTTTTGAGTTCAGTGATGATGCTGTCCAGATCCAAGCTTCGATTGTTATCCATGGACAGGACAACATTGGTATTAGAACTATGGGTGTGGGTCCCTTCCCGCTCCTACAGGGACAAAAGAAGCTACAGATTCTGTTTGGATCCCTCCAACCTCCCCACCTTCCTCTCCTCAGCAAGTAACATCAAAATGGGCAGCAGGAGACCTGTGTTCTTCTAGGGTCATAGCTTCTAGAAGTGGGAAGACTCTCACCTTACAGATAAGGAAAACAAGTCTTGGAGGAGTGATGTGATTTACTTCGTATCATAAAGCTACTCATTGGCAGAGCCCAGGTCTTCTTGTTCCAAAACTAATGTCTAAGATTTGGAGACAGAGGACTTTGGTTCAAATCCTAACTCATCCACTTATTAACTATAACCTTGGGTAAATCATTTAAGCTTATTGGGCCTCAGTTTCTTCATCTATAAAATGAGGGGGTAGGACTAAATAATTCCTTCCAGATTTCAATCTATAATCTCCTCAGTTGTCACATTTCATTCTATCAGTTGTTAATTACCTGTCCATACACGTTTTATCTCCCCAAGTCATCTCTAGACTCCCTGAAAGTTTGAAATACGTCTTACCCTTCCTCATATCTGGATTACTAATGATTATTATTAACAAATCCCAAGTACTGAAAGAACTAAAAGTCTAAAGTTCATTGAGAATGACTAAGTATGTGATCATATAGTTAGTCAGTGACTTTTTGGCATTATGAAGTAAAGAAGAGAGAAAGGACTAGAGATGGGCAAATGTCTCAGCCTTCAAAGGGAGAAAAGTCGATCCTGAAAACTCTAGACTCACAATTGCAACATCATTGCTTTGAAAAACTCTAGAACAAATGATTGAGGCTGATGATTTGTGAAAACTTGGAAATGAAAGTGATAGTCGCTGGAAACCAGGTAAAAAAATGTTATGCCTGATGCAGACTAAAGGGGGAGGAACTAGTAAGACAATTAAGGCAATAACAACCACCCTCTAAATACGGGATGACTCATAATTCCAGCCAACTGATGATGAAGCATGCTACCCACCTCCTGCCTGAGAGGTGATAGGTTAGATATGCAAAATGAGGCAGACCGATTTTGGACATGGCCAGAGTTAAAATCTGTTTTGCTTGATTATAGGTGCATATTAGTTACAAGGATTAGTTTTCTTTTTCCCTCCCACTGAAAGGGGGCAGGGTGAGGGCATAAAAAATAAATGCTTATTAATTGAAAACAATTTTTTTAAAAATGTTTAAGTCATGCCAAAATAACCTCTTTTTTTCTTTTGCTAGGCTTACAAGACTAGTAGATCTGGAGAATGTCAAAATCATATTTTATCTTGATTTCAGCACATCATATAACAGTTTTTTGTATTATCTTTGTAGATAAGTCAGAGAAGCATGGGCTATTATGCTGAGTTAAGTAGATGAAGAGCTATACTCAGAAAGTACTGATCAATGCCAACCTAGAAGAAAATCTATAATAGTGTGTCACAAGGTTCTGTTTTGGACCTTGTCCTTTTTCATGTTTTTTTTTTTAACAGACTTGGCTTGAAAAGATAGATGCCAAGCTTCTGAAGTGTGTGGTTGACACAAAGAGGGAAGGACATGGGCAGATCTGCCAAACAAGGGGGAAAGGATAATCCCTAAATAAGACAAAATCAGTATTGGGGGCAAAAAGTCTTGACAGAATTAGTACAATGGTCACAATCAGCGAGATAAAATTCAACAAGGATAAATGGGAAGTCCTTCATTTTAGATTCAAGTATTTCATGTGAAAAAGACCTGTGAAGTCAACCACAAGCTCAATGCGAGCCAATACAGCTGCTGAAGAAACAGACACACACAGGGTTGAGTTGGGGAAGTGGGGGAAGGGAGGGAAGGAGAGAGGGGAGGGAAAGAGAGGGGAGAGAGAAGGGGGAAGAGGGAGAAAGAGGAGGGGGAGAGAGAAGAAGAAGAAGAAGAAGAAGAAGAAGAAGAAAGAAAGAAAGAAAGAAAGAAAGAAAGAAAGAAAGAAAGAAAG